CCCTAAAATTTTAATTGTGTTCTTGGGTATAGATTGTTGGAGAAATGATTATGTTGATAGAATAATCATTTGGAAGAATGATTTATAGGTTAGAATGTAAAGTTAAATTTGTTGAATTATGGTTACTAGTTTTTACTAGATTTGAAGAAGGGAATGATTTTATGTTTGGGATTAGGGGTGGACGCAGGGGGTCCTGGGGGCACTTGCCCCCCCAACTTTTGAGTTTTTTTTAATCATATTTGGTATCGATTGAAATATAAATTTTAATCTAAATCAAAGTTAATAATTAATTTTAATAACATATTTCGTAGAATCCATAACTATTTAACTTTTATCAAAATTTAAAATTTTGATTTTAATCTCCATCAAATATGGACAAAATCACAATAAATTTTAATTTTTCTCTTTTTCTCTTGTCTTTTAACAAAATCTTAACTCTCTATTAAATAATGGCAAAATATTGCATTCTTAATACTATTTCGAAGTGTTCACGGTCTAATTTTCTACGTCGTTAATGGCGTATAAAACAATCAATCGTAGCAAATGCTACAACTTGTCAAAGTAAGCCGTTCAAAATTAGTATTTCAAAAATTTCGATAATATGCTAACTTTAAAAAATTTTCGACGATCGTACGCTAATCGAATCTACAAATTGCTTATGTAATCTCAAAATTTATTTCGAGAACTATATTATAGGTATATCAAATAATCCAAATATATATCGCAAATAGTTAAAAATGTGTTAAACGTGAGTTTTAAAGAAAAACGTTTAACTCGCATTTTCTTTTAAAAAATTCAATTATTTCATTAACAATTATTATTTTTGCAATACAAATTTCTTAATGTAATTTTCATCCTATTATTAGGAAATTTTATATGGAATATGAGATAAAAAATTTCGAAATTTTACATCTGAAAAAGTCATATCTCATATAAATTTTCGGATGTAAAATTACATTGGGTATGATTTTTTTGGACATAAATTTTTTATTATAAAAGTTCTCCCAATTTCTTTGCAAATTCGATTGTGCCCCCCCCCCCCCACCCAACTTTTAACTTCTGCGTCCACCCATGTTTGGGATGAAGGTAATTGGGATAAATTAAAGATAAGTGAAATGACTAGAAATAGAATTAGCTTCAAGTGATTAAAGGGAATTTTGGAAAATTACCCCAGTGTCGAGAAATTTAGTTTTAGTATTCGATTATTAATATTTAGAGCTACTTAGCATGATGGTGGTTAAATTAATTGTTTGGTATTGCATTTCAGGTGGTGATGAAGAGATTGGAATAGATTATCAGCAAAACTAATCGCCACATAAATAGCTAGTGAGTGGAAAAACTTGAATATTTTCAAATATGGATAGCGCACTTGCATTTTTATATTACGTGTGATTATGTGAAGTATTTGTTCAATTACATGATTAAGATAGAAATGTTCCTTCACTATGATGCATGTAGAATTCAAAGATTGTGTATGTATTACTGGTGAATTGGAATGTGAGAAATGTGATATTGAGGTCGACAATAAAAGTACTCTGATTATATAAATCTTTCGTTCACGAAGGGGCCAAAGGCACGTGGCGAAAGTATTTAACCCGAGAGGCGAATTACAGATTTTTTAGACGACTTTCGTTCACGGAGGGGCCAAAGGCCCGTGGCGAAAGTATTTAGTCCGAGGGGCGAATTACAAAATTTTCAGACAGCTTTCATTCACAGATAGGACAAAGGGCCGTGGTGAAAGTATTTAGCTGGAAGGGCGAATTACAGATTTTTTAGATAGCTTTCGTGCACGGAGGGGCCAAAGGCCTGTAGCGAAAGTTCTTATCTCCAGGGGTGGATTATAGATTTCAGTCAGAGTGTACATTTCTGGTTGTTTACTTGTGATGTGATGAGATGAGATGATGATGTAGATTTGAATTTGAAATGATAATTATATCGAGACTATAAGGTGATATTTATTTTTCGGAGTTATAAAGTGTCTCACGTTTTGATTATTATTATATATTGTTACAATGTGAACTGTTAAATGGTTTTAGCTGAATTTTCGAGAAAAATATATAAATGAGAAATACAATGATTTTCAAACTTTTCCATTCACTCAACTATCAACTCATATATCTTCCACGATTTTTCTCATCAGGTAGCAGTTGAGTTTTTGGACAACTTTTAGAGTTAAGCCTTGATTTTGGAGTCGGAGTCACCGACAAAGTTAACTAGTATGACTCATTTCACAAAGCATGTAGTTGGTATTTTAGGATACGTGTTCATTTTTGGACGTCATTTCGCATCATTTGTATATATCTAAATAGGCTCACTACGTGTTTTGCATCCATATGTATAGTTTATGTTATTATCATAGTAAAAGTTTGAGAATTCGACTTATCTCTATATCTTGTTGTACTTTTGTGGATATTAAAAGGGAATCATGAATTAGCACTGGTATTATATTTTTGTTGGGAGTTGTATATATTAGTGGTTACAGGTTGGCTAGTCCAAATTATAGGGGAGATAATGCCGAAATTTTATTAAAAATAATTTATAAAAGTTGCATATTATAGTAGCCTTGATGGTAGGTTCAACTTTTAGTTGGTATCTATCATCGGTGCACGTCACACTCTGAGTCTACTAGCTCTATTAGGAGTGGGGCGTGTCATTTTAGCCTGCTCAAAGTAGTAGAGTCTCTCACATTCCTTAACACTGCCAATCATCGTCCCCGTTGTCAGGTCCTGAAAGATACAATGAGGGGAATGAAATTTAGCAAAGCAGTTGAAATGTTTAGTCAATTGACTTATAGACAACAAATTACTAGATAATTTTAGAACATTGAGAACTGAGTGGTGATAGAATCAGATATATGAATACTATCTGTGCCTACAACAGGAAAAAGGGATCTATCTGCAATTTTTACTTTCATATTTCCAGCATATGGTGAATACGTTGAAAATATATAATAAGAATCAGTCATATCGTCATATGCTCCCGAATCTATAATCCAGGGAATATGAGTATAGGAGGTGGTTAAAGGCTTTCAAGGAATTACCTCCATAAACTAAGGAATTAGAAGAAATGTGTTTTTATAACTAATCGGAAGATTGAAGGGTAACAATCATTTCCATGATCTTTTCTAATTGATCTAAATTTGAGGTGTTGCTGCCTGGAATAGACTGAATATTTTTCTCTACCTGTTTCTTGATTTGACTCGTGCGAATTTCTTAAATCGCTGATTCCTAGCTGTTGACGAAGCCATTCCCCATTGTTAGCTCGATTTAGGAGAAAACCTAACTTTGATACCATGAAAAATGAAATAAAATTTTCTGTATTTCTTGATTGAATTGTACACACCTATTACACACTATTTATAGTACATCAATAAAAATAAAAATAAATAAATAAATAATCTTCTAATTTATGATACAAAAAATTAGCCTAACAATCAACCTAAGTTATGGAAATATTTAATAAATTATATATCAATTATGATTCTATTTCTACAAATAACTACCACTATATTAAATAAGAAATGAAACAAATGGCATTGACACAATCATTTTAAATTGAAATTATCAATCATGATTGGTGTACAATGTTGTCAACATCATTGTTGACAATTTGCCACATGGCATGTTGTCCTTGAATATTTTAAAAAACAACTTAGCTTTTCAACCAACAATTTTTTGTCACTTGCAACATTGTATAAATAGATTAATCATTAAATTGTATAACTTATCAAATGTAGTAAGATATTTTATTATTAGCCAACCACTCATATTCCAATTCAAATGTAGTAATTTGCACAAAGAAATTATATACATAATCATGGACCATATTAACCAAATTAATCACAATTGGCATGGCATAATAAATGAAGATATTATCCAAGTAATCACACTATTTGACTCGTTTTATTTAAAAATAATCAGAATAGTATTGGAAGTTTATCAAGAATTTTTATAACGTGCATCGAAACTATATGCAGTAAATCAAACATGAATAAGATCGCATGCAATGGAAATTTTTCAAGAACAAAGTAAAATTTTTCTTAAGATTGTTGAAAATTGGTATATAATTATATTTCTTTAACTAAAAACATGTGCATGCAAGATATAATAGCGATTTGCTGGTGCGAAATACTAGATAAAGTTTCGATTTATCAAAATTAAGATATGCACATGAAAATACACACAAATTGCAACTTACTAAAATGTAGACAATACAAGAATTAGTAAGAGATAAGATAAGGCCAAGTATGCAAAATCTCTTTAAGACGGACTCTATTCCTTGCACTGGTGCTAATAACATCAAATGAACGTCAATATCCTAAAATGCAGTGCTTTATCCAAAATTAATATAACAAATATTAGTTTTGTTGGATGAACCAAAGTTAGAGAGTACTCTTCTATATTGAAAATTATCCAATACTAAAATATTGAACAGAACATATTGAAAAAAAAAATTGAAAATTATTTTGATATAATTTGAAGAAGGGTTTAGAAATTAATTTAATTAAATTGATTTAGAGTGAACAAAATGTAATTAAGAGGATTCAATCTATAGATTTCAATGTGTTGAAGACTTATTTCAATTCACGTATTTTAATCGTTATATTTGTGTGTTCCATCCCATTTTTAACCACTGATTCAGAAATGATTATACTCTTAAAATAATCTAGCAAACATGTCATAACGATGTCGTGGCCCATGGTAGGAAATGAATGAAGGTAAAGTTACGTATGTAGGCCCATTTCCCAATGTCCATCTTTATTAGAATGTAAAAGGCTGAACCCGTTCTGGAAATGAAACGCAGGACATTAATATGTGCTCATAAATCTTTCAACTAACCAGTGCAATTCCAAATTTCATTCAACTAAAGTAACATTGCAAGTTCAGTACAAAAAACAAGCAAAACCAATTTAACTTTATCCAGAATGGAAAGTAAAATCTTCTCTAACATTGGCCCATAAATTCCCTTCCGGCATTTGTCCGGTTATTCTTCAACAAATTCTAAATCTTGTTATTATACCAGAATACACCTTTGTTCTGGTCTCCCTCATCTGGTTCCACATAGATACACTCTTTGACTTCTCTCCACATTGCCTTAAAAATTGGTGTCCCGTCAAATCGATAGTAATTCCCTAAAATCGGCTTGATTGCCTTGGTCGCCTCCATTGCGTGATAGTGTGGCATTGATGAGAACAGATGGTGTGCCACGTGAGTATCTGTAATGTTGTGGAATACCTTGTTCAAAATCCCGTAATCTCTGTCAGCAGTCGCTAAAGCTCCCCGTAACCAATCCCACTCGGTGGAATCGTAATGAGGCAGTGCAGGATGGGTATGCTGCAAATAAGTTATCAAAACTAGGAATCCGTTGACCAAAAGCAATGGACCACCATAAACAAAAAGAACCCAAGCAAGTCCTTTAGCTGCCACAAGACAATAAAGCCCATAAGTGGCAAGTAGAACACCAGCATCAGAAACAAGGATCAGCGTGCGCTCGCGATCCGAGTATATCGGGCTTTGAGGGTCATAGTGGCAAGCAAAACGTTCATAATTTCTCCCCGAGACGTTGAACAGTAAATATAAAGGCCACCCTAAGGTCAGCTGGGCAAGAAGTACAAGAACTCTGCCAGGTGGATTGTTCAGATGCTTGGCAAACCCACCGATTCCAGACTTGAGTTTCGGTACAAATACTTCATCTCGATCCAGGGAACCAGTATTTGAATGGTGGCGCCTGTGACTAAGTTTCCACGAAAAGTATGGTACGAGGAGAGCAGAATGTAGGATCAAGCCAACAGTGTCATCGAGCCATTGGTAATCGCTAAACGCATGGTGGCCACATTCATGTGCTATGACCCAAACACCGGTTAGTACACAGCCTTGGCACATCCAATAGACAGGCCAAGCTAGGCAGGAAAGAGGTTGAGGAAGGTTTTGGAAATAGTTGGTGGCAACATAGAAGAAGAGAAAGGCAATGGTAAGATCATACAAGACATAGGAGAAAGATCGAGGAATAGATCGCTGGAAACAATGGGGCGGGATGGCTTTCTTGAGTTCACCTAGTGTGAATGGAGGTTTTGAGTGTGGAACTCGTTGGAGGACTTCAGATTTTGACTCCTTGCCCTTGTGAGGGACAGACATTCGGCCTCCAGCACCCATTGTTCAGTGACCTGCGGTGGGAAGACAACAATAATGAGTTAAAAGTAGTTGCAACTGGTGGACTGAAGAAATAACAAATCAATAACAGCAGAATAGAAAGTAAAGGTCTAAAAAAAATATTTCAGGCCTACAAGAAATTCATCAGAAGGAATAGAAGTATTAACCTGTACAGGAAATCAATTGCAACAGATCAAGAGAGGACAAAAAAAAACTAATAAAAAGTTGGGATGCACAAGTTGAAGATCCTACATAAAATAAGAAATGCTTTGGCCTCTGTTTCAAGTTGCTAGCTTGTCCCTATGAGGCAAATTTTTCAATCTGCATTAATTACCCAACTACCTTCACACGGAATACAAAGGGCAGATATTTACGTGAAATTCAACTTGTCCATTATTGATTACAACTATCACAGTCCCGCAAACAAAATCGTACCTCTTAAATGCAATCTTTTTGGATTACGAATTTGTAAATTTTTCAAGTAATTCCAAATCGTATTCAGATATTTCACATGAGTGCATGACTATGAAAATAGAGTATGAATAAATGAATCTTGGCTATCAAATAGTATAGCAATAGCAAAATTTTAGTGACAGTTTATTTACTATCTTCTTGGCCGTGTCTGAATATTGACCTCTTAAGAGGGGTGCAATTCACCATCCCTTTAATGATTCAGCAAAAGTACATTTTAATTCAATGCTGAAAAAAAATACAGATTAAGACTGGAAGTTATTGCCGCTGTATTGTTTGACTTGGCTTTGGATCTAAGAAAAGGTATCCTCACTATACTAAATGGTCACTACTACTAATAATGCAATATTATAAAATATATGAAGTATTAGGACATATTCAACTTTTATACATGCCCGCAAAGAACATGCACACAACTTGGCGGGTGACACTAAAGTATAAAAGCATAAATAAAGGTAGATTCGCATAACAAGAATCAGACTGGCCATTTATAGTGGAAATTCAATTATTATATAGCATTAGAAGCCAACCTTTTGACCAACAATGAGAAGAAAGCAGAATAGTTCATGAAAACTAAGCCAACGCATAACCATAACAATTAAATGCTCAGGCCACTATTTACCACTTAAACACAGCTTTTAATCGAGGAATTACACAAAATGGGTAACACAACAAGCAGTCTTTTTGACATTAACATATTTTTAGACGCTTGAGAAAATTGTAGATTTTTGATGATTTGTTTTGCCTCTATATTCAAAAAATTGCCATATAAAATTTTTTTTTTGTACCGAACCATAGCCATCCTCATATTCACTGATAAGGATTATTGCTCATAGATTACTTTAATGGCAAACAAAGTTCATTTATATACAGTAATTTACTAAGCCCATATAAGATAAGCTAATTCAGGTAAAAGAGAGATCTAGAAAAGGAATGATGCTTGAACAAAAGATTAAATTAACGGTTGAAGCCTTCAAATAAAAGGTGAAAACCAATTTGTCGTATGGGAACACAGGACACTTTATATGCCACAAATCTGAGGCTCAAATGTAAAGTGCACATAAGTTTTCAGAGAACAATGGATATTGTACAGTGTTAGGGGAAATAATGAGTCAAATCTTGTTCAATGTATGTGTGTGGTACCACACTGCCCCTTGCCCCTTAGTGTCAAAGAAAAGCCAATGCCATAGAACATGGGAATCTAGAAATAGGTAAAAAATTCATGTAGCCGTGAGGCTAAAAAGGCAAGACTACCATCACCACAAAAGACAAGCAAAGAAAGAAGATAGTAGCACTTCTGCGTCGATCCATTTATATCAACAGTGTTTTGAATTTTTTTCTTCAAAGTATAAATATTTACAGAGATAATTTAGATGTTAGTTATCTATAATAAAAATAAAAAATAAACAATACATCTTCAAATAAAATCTATAGAAGAGAATCTTAAGCATATCTAAATCTCGTAGAAATATAATAATTGAAATCAGATTCAAATGGAATTAAAACAAACATGGGGTTTCATTTTTTAGGTAATTATAATCCAAAATGGAAAAGAAAAAAAACTCACACTTTCCGACATCACATAACTTTCCATGTCCTTCAAGAAAAAATAAAATAAAATCGCTTATTCTCCTTCTTCTCTTTCGCAATGAAACAGAACATACGGAAAGAAACTGAAAAGCCATCAAAATCAGAGTTTGACATCTTCCAAGGTTCAAGTAATCAAGGTACATTGCAAAATTATAACACCAGAATCTAAAGAAAAGCATTGATTTACTTTTTCATCAGGTAAAATTATTTTGCCAAATAATCTGAATTAGATCCAGATGCACTGAATTCAAACCTCAATTCGCATCAAGATCTAGTCTCATCAGCAATCCACAATAAATAAAACACAACACGCACACAAAAAACCAAAACAGACATGCAAAATCTGTATCTGTTTGATTGAAAAAAGAGTACCTGTTAGAAAAAATTTCCTCTCCTCTCTCTCACAATAAGCTTCTCCTCTACTCGTTCGGGCACGAATGATGCGTTTAGGCCGGTCAGTCGGTTGCCGGCCCCTTTGGTATGCGCTTCTTGAGTGAACAACGATAGCTATTTAAGCTTGTCTTTCTTCCTATTGGTGGGGCCCATGCAAGGGTTTGTTTGTTACGGGCCTCTCTTCTCTTTCTAAATAAATATATTTTTCCTAAATATTAAATTAATACTATTATTTCAATAAAATAATTTTGTACCTTAATTAATAACTTTTCTCTATTTTTTCAACTATACATTTTTCAAAAATTCCTTTCCATAAAATTGTTAAATATATTTTTAAAAAATAGATAGCATCTTGGAGATAATCGGTTAAATATACTTTCTAAAAATAGAAGGTCTCTCGAAAAGACTCTTACGTCTATATATCTAAAAAGTTTACGAGTCAATTTTTTTTAAAAAAAAATAACTAATATTATTACTCACTTTTGCAGATCTAGCTGCCTAAATCTATATTAAGAGTGTGTTTGATGAATATTATTATAGAAAGAATGTATTTTAAATAGTGATATGATGGTTGAAAAATAAGGAAAATTTATTGATGTGATAGAAAATATTATTTTATTGAAAAATGTGTGGTTGAAAATGAGTAAAATAATGAGAATGAGAATGTGGCTCAAACAGGGGCTAAAATGTAAATATTAAAAAAAATTTAAATTATTAAGAATATTAATAAGGTTAAAATTTTGTCTCGCATTTTATTAAAGGTTTGTTTGAGCCCCATTTTTTTAAAAAAATTCATTTTTTCAAAACTTAGCATACGTTTGTTTCTCATTTTTCATTCATAAAAATGAAAAATATGATCGTTATTCATCACATCAAGCCATCAATTTTGAATTTCTATCTCTTGTGTGGGCCCAATAACGACTATATTTTTCATTCTTATTCTACAATAATGAGAATCATAAAATCTAATGGTGCAGTGTGGTAAATTAAGTCACGTTTGATCTACATTATTATCTCATTATAATAAAAAATATAACCGTTATCCATCACATCAAGCCATCAATTTTGAATTTCTATCTCTTGTGTGGGACCCAATAACGACTATATTTTTCATTCTTATTCTACAATAATGAGAATAAACGGACCATTATTTTTAATCACACATTTTTCAATAAAATAATTTTACACGTAAATCGAAAATATTTCTTTCTTATATAATCACACTTTCTCTCAAAATCACTATTCTAAAATACATTTTTTTTTTTTTCAAAATGGGCTCAAATATATATACTAATTAAAAACTGTAAATATAAAATAAATTATATTTATAGTATGGTAAGAAGACGCATCTCTCTTTTAGACCTTGCTCTTAAACTGAAGGGTGTGATCTGTCGTGCGGTTTTTTGCGGCTGTGATCGTTTTGTGTAGTACAAAAATATCTTGAAAGCAGTGGCAGTGTTGTGCTTGTGTAGAGAAGCCCGACACGTCTCCGTGGTGTGGTGGTAAAGGCAAAATATTGGAGCGTGAATATGGGCTGTTTGTCTGGTGATACATTCAACAAGCATTAATATTTGGCACTCAATTTCTTTCTTTTCATTAATTATTATCTATTTGTACGTTGACTGTACACATTTTTATTGACATACAAAAATTGGTGTGGTTGATTATTTTAACAATCTTGCTACATGTACATCTTTCTTTACACCTTGGTTTACCTAATTTGTACTTGGCAAAATCTCACATCACCTTTCACATTTCACACATTTAATCCAACCATCATCCATCTGCCACATCATTCATCTGAAAACCAAGTGGTAAAGGAGGTGGTACAAATAGCTTAACTCTTCTACTTTCTTTACACCTTAGTTTACCTAATTTGCACTTGGCAAAATCTCACATCACCTTTCACATTTCACACATTTAATCCAACCATCATCCATCTGCCACATCATTCATCTGTAAACCAAGTGGTAAAGGAGGTGGTACAAATAGCTTAACTCTTATTTTAAATATTGTTAAAATCGATGATAAAAATATTGACAGCCTCACACACTTTTTACCAAATTGTATCTTCCTTTCTATTTATTGTTTGTTATCACGGAGATGTTTGATTCTAATTTTTATTTTTCAAAATACATTTTTCTCTCTTTTCTTTTCAACAACATATTCTTCATTAAAGTAATATTACACTTAAATAAAAAAATATTTCCTTATTTTTTAACAACACATTCTTCATCAATCTATTATTTCAAAATACATTCTTAAAACATAATGGGACTCAAACGCCCCCTAAATGGGAATCTATGATCAACACTGATGTGGATTTATATGAGATGGAAGGACATACGTTTCTCGAAACCTTAACCGTTGTTTAAGCTGTTAGAATGAGATCTAATTTGTTAAGGTATGTTTGGTTTGTTATTTTCAAGTTGTTTTTAGTTTTGCCGCTTTATAATTTTCCATTTTGTAAAACACTGAAAGTGTATTTGATTTGATATTTTCGAAAATGTATTTTTAAACAAAAAATTGTG